GAGGAAGAAGGGAGGGGAACGGGGGAGGGGCAGGGGGAGGAGGGGGAGGAGAGGAGGAGGGAGGACAGGCTCCCGGTGGGAGCAGCACTGGAGCCAAGGCTCACAGGTAGGACCTGTTTTCCAGTCCTGTATCCCGGAAGCAGGAGTAGTGACCCAGAGGGACCCATGCCTTGAAGGTGGGGCCCCCCACTCAGCCAGTGCTTCCTCTGGGATGGACCATGGGGGGGCCACTCTCTCAGGCTGCTGTTGTCTAAAAATGTCTCTCAATATAGTGGAGGGACCTAATATTTTTTTAGAGCTATCTATTTAATCTACCCTCCATAGATGTACGTATATATAAACACACACACATATGTAATATATGTGTGTATATGACTTTATCTTTGTGACAGAACCTCTCTAACCACTACATTGTTGAGACTGGGCTTGAACTTGCGATCTTCTTGCCTCAGCCTCTCAGCGTGCCGGGATTCCAGGCCTGCACCAGCACGGCAGACTTTATTTTTGCTTATCACGTATGGACTTCATGTCTTCGTGGCGTCCAGCATGAGATACCAACGTGCGTGTGCGTGTACCCTCCTTCAAGCAGTCTCTTTGCCCGTCCTTCCCCACAGCCTTTCCAGCTCCCAGTATTGCTGTTGTACGGATTGGTTAGCTTCTGCGGCTTCTGCTCAGGAGACCGCGGTCCTTTGCTTTCAGGGTGTGCATTATTTCCCTTCCCAAAATATCCTCCTGTCACACCCACTTCGATGCAAATGACAAAGTTTCATCTTTCTTTGTGGCTTGATACTCCTTCCTTCATCCGTTTAGGGATACTAGGGGTGTTCTAGATCTCGGTTCTTGTGGACAAAGCCAGAGTCAGTACAGCAGTCCAGAGGCCGACTGCTTTGGCGGGCTTCTTTTCCTGCAGTACATTCCCAGAAGAGGGACAGCTGGCTGGATGTAATGTTTTTAGCAGAGCAAATGTCAGATTGATGTGTTACAGAGTCCAAGGAACAAGTGAGGAGAATAGAAATCTGCTGTGTGTGTTGGTCTCTCTGCAGACCTAAGGCCCTTTCTTCTCCTCTAGGCCTACGTTTGTGCTGCTATATGTGGGGTGTGGGCTCCTACACAACGCAGACCGCCCTGAATTTCTTTACTGACAGAAATACAGTAAGATAATGAGCCATCAACTACTCATTCCCCACAAAAAAAATTGAATAGAAAACTCAGTAATTAAACATTACTTTAAGGTTATTTACATTTTTTAAAAGAGGAGAATAGTATAAGTTCTTTATAAGAAATCAGTTATCTATGTTGGTTAGTTTGCATACTTGTTCTTTCCAAAAAGATCTGAGGTCACCATTTGTATATAAATCATCTACAATGTTATTTATTCAACATTCTCTTTTTATACCTGTGGTACACGTTCCTAACAGTGTGCACTCAAAAATACTTTGCAAACAGAACGACAGACATTCTAGAAGGTAATAAGTTTATATCCTAAGTATGGCAATTTAGAAAATTCATTGATTGAAATGAGCCCCTCTTCCACTCCGTTCAATTTTGAGGTTTTAAATATCCTTCCTTCTAGTCTTTCTCAATCCGAGATGTTTCTTACAGTTAATGTGTGAAATGGAATATAGTGTTTGTTTTGAAATCACCCCGAAGCTGTGTGAATGTCCTACTGCTGATGGTCTCTTCAATCAAAAATTTCAGGCTCGGTGACTTGGGAGTTAGTAATGCTGCTTCAGCTATTAATAGACTTCTGAGACTCACGCCAGCAGAATAAATAGCATAACTCAGAGTACCTCAAGCACACAGGACTGTGTATTGGCGGCTTCTTTGTAGGTAAATGCAACCAAAATACAGAAACTAAAAGATATAAGATGATTCTTTATTGCAGGGCTATTTAACAGGACTAATATTCAGATCAAAACAGAGCTCCAATGTTAGAGAATAGTTATATTGATTTTAATATATTAACATGATATAATATTGTATGGTTTTTAAAATTTGTTTTCAAACCCATACAAATAAGGGGAAGATAATTGTTATAAAATTAAGTGAAAAGGTGAGAAGTAAAATGATGCACTGTGACCTCTTCAAAATGCAATGTTGTGGTGACAAAACTGTGATTTGAAGAAGTTTCTCAATCTTATTCTTGCTCTTGTGGCTTTATCATAAAAAGGGAGAGAATTTGCCGTGTCCGAGGAGCAGCTGGCAATTGTGTGGCGGCAGCCGCCGGACAGCAGGGCATTGGAGGGTCGGCCTGGTCCTCGCGCTCTGCCGGGAGCCTTAAGCTGTCCCTCTTACTTCCTTTACACAAACAGCAGTGGGGCGGATGACCTGGACCTCACCCCCGTGCTCTTGAGGAAGTTCCGGGATCAGGATCCTCCCCGTGCTGATCCGGCCCCAGATCTGTAAGTATCGGGTGGCCGTGCCGGAGTGCGGACTCTGCTGCGGCACGGGAACGGGTGGGCAGTTCCTCTGGGCTTGGGTGAGTTCTTGTTGCAAGTTTACATTGCGTGAAATGAACCTCGGCCTGATGAGTGGGTTATTACTGAACAGGCCTAATGGCATCATCGTATAAAATGATCTGAAATAAGCTGTTAGATTGCCCCTCTCCACCCTCCGTGACACATGCTTTATATCATTGCGAAAATGAAAAATATAGCATTGTTTGCTTACCGAAATCCAAAGCTAACCGGTGCACGCCTGGAATCCTAGCACTCTGGGAGGCTGAGGCAGGAAAATCAGTGACCTACACAGTGACCTACGAAGACTCTGTCTCAAAATGAAAAATAATAAAGTGTGGGGAGACAGCTCGGTGAGAAGCACTGGGCTCCGCCCCCAGTGCAGCAGAAGCCAAAGAGCAACCCCAGGCAGGGCTGGCAGGATGAATCAGCAGCAAGGGGTGAGTCTACACCAGTAACTTTTGGGGAAAACTCACACCTGTGAATATCATTACAATTCTTTTAAAATAAAAGGTTTAAGAGATCAGTGCACATAGATGTAAGAACAAGCAGTATTTGCTTTCTGTGCCTGATGTATTTCATGTATACAGCTCTACGTGCCCATCACACTGTCTTTACCAACCTCTCTACTGATGTTTGCACACCACAGAAGCAGACAGTCGGGCAGTGACCTGGGCCCGGGAGGGCGAGCAGTGTGGGTGGAGAGATGGCTCACGGGCATGGGGTGCAGTTGCATGGGTGAAGTGACTTCTGATGCTGTGCTGATGCTTCATTCAGTATTTCAAAATACCTAGTGTAAAGTGTTTTGATTTTCAAAAATGATGCATACTTCAAATGGTACACATGCTCCTTTACCTGATGTGACCATTGGACAGTGTATACATGCACAAACAATCTCCCAATGCATGTTATAAATATGCATGGTCATAATGTATGTTATAATTTTTAAAGCCTTAAAAATAAGAAAGGCAGGGCTGGAGATGTAGCTCAGCAGCACAGTGCCTGCCTGGCAAGCACAAGGCCCTGAGTCCAATTCCTGATACAAAAAAAAAAAAAAAAAATAAAAATAAGAAAGGTCAGTGCATCGGTGTGTGGTGAATAATCATGATCTTCCTAGGATTTGAAAATCATGATGTGGAGATGACTTCTATGAAGCCCTCTGCTGGAGCATTCCTTTTAGCATAAGTAGTTTTTTGCTGCTACTTTTTGTATAAATACTATCTTTATTAAATACCTTTATAGTTTATTTAAATGTATTCGCAGAACTATTCCAGCATAAGCTGTATTTTTGATAGCCAACTCAGGTAGCTGCCGCTTGGGTAAGACAAATAACGCGAGTCTCAACAGAAAATAGTAGCTCATTGGTATGCACAGATTCAAATCAGCTTCATGATTGAGCCATCTCATCACAGACTACCTGGGAACAGTGAAATTTTGATGCAAACACCACTTTTAGTTGAGAAGTTCAATTTTGTAGCAAACTTAGCTTTAAAAACAAAAACAATCCAAATGTGTTTATTTGTTGAGGATATATAATAAATAAAATGCTGCGTTAGGCATCAAGATTAATAAAATGCATGTGGCCCTGTCTGGACAAATTTATAATTCTGTATCTAACCAATGAGGCAAGTGATAACAACCATAAATGAATGGCAGCAGTGCATGTTTAAAGTAATAAATACAGAAATCCAGACAAGGGTGCAATATTGGCAACATGTTTCCTAATTTATGGCGACATATTTTCCCCATTTGTCATGTTGGTAATTTGCTCGAGACTGAATAACATTATATGTTCTCAGTATGGAAGAATTAATAGATAATTAATTATGCTGCTTCCCTTTAGTTTTCTTTTGAAAAAACAAAGTAATTCATTTAACCGAGGTGTCGGTGACAATGATTCTGTTTCCCTCCCCTTCTATGGGACGGGAGGGTGTCGATCACATCGGCCCCCTGAGGGGTCCGTCGGTGGCCCATTGTCACATTAAAGCAAGAGTAGCTGGCAGAAGAGAAATATTTCTTTTTATCTAGCGTCTCACAAGCAAGAACAAAAGGTGGGGCCACGCATCAGGACACAGAGCCAGAATTGTACTTGGGTCTGGTTAAGTTTCAGCCCCTTCCGTGCACGGCAGTGGCCCTGAGTGCCCGCGTCCGTGTCCCCCCGGGGCCCGCCCTGCTGTGCCCAGCCTGTCCTCCCTCTCGGCACTGTTGGATCTGCGCTGTGCTCTTCCTCCTGCTGGGAGGCGCGCAGGCCCTTAACGCCTTCGTGCTTTGGAGCTCCTTGTACTCATCTCCTTGGCGCGCTGGTCATTTTATTATCACTGGGGCAGAATACCCGGCCCCTGACGCTGCCCGAAGAGCTTCACTTTAGGTCGCAGTTTCTGAGGGAGGACTCAGTCCACAGTCAGCGGGCTCCAAGGCTGGAGGGCAAAGGCCTGGTGGAGCAGAGCGGCTCACAGCGCGGGGGCCAGGGGTGGAGGCAGGAGAGGAGGGCCGAGTCAGGAACCGGAACTCGCCCCACCAGGTCACCTCCCCTGCCCTGTGGCCGCCTCCAGCCAGGCTCCACCTCCTGCCCACGTGTTCAGCCACGAATTCACCCACGGGTGAATCCACGAATGACCCCAATCACCTTCCCAGAGGCCCATCTCTGAATCCATGCGACTCCAGAGGGACATCGTAGATCTGGACCACAATGGTCAGCATGTATGGATACTGTGCATACTTGTCATAATTTATGTCTCTGCTACGTAATAGGGCTCATTACACTAGGTTTCCAAATCAAAGCAAAAGGGATTTTCTTCAGTAAATTGTGTTCTGTAGCTACAAAGTGTTGTTGAATTCAGTGATATCTACATTTTTATATTTTTTGTCAGACCTTAGCAGGGAGCTTCTTATTATTTAGGGCATTTGAAAGTCACAGATTAGATTTTGCTCATGGACTCCTCCTCTGTTGAGACGGCAGGCCCGAGGTTGCTGCGCTGGCTTGTGGTTTGCACCTCTTTTTTAAGCAGGTGAACAGAAAGAACTCTAGGATAGCCAGCGGTGGTGGAAACCTGCTGAAATTAATTTTCCTCCTGATAGTAGATGGTGCACAGTCGGCATCTTGGAATGTGCTGGTGTTGCCAAGTGTTAGAGCCTACGGGCAGATTTCCACAAGTCATTTCATCTCACAAGGCTCATTTGGGTGGTGCTTCAGTGACAAGTTCCCTCTACTATTTCAGAGATAAAAGGGTCTCTCTGCACCTCCATCCTTGTCGCTGTTTTAATACAGAACAAAAAGTGGCCTTTCTTAGATCTTTTACCTATTTCTACCAACTGTAACAGGCTGCTGGGGGATGTGTAAAGTTTATTTTCATAATTAAAAAAAGCATGGCCTAGACTACCAGATATAAGCTCACAAAATGTCAAAAAATTAAAGGGATTGTTTAAGTATTAACAGTTTAACTAATTTGAAGACAACCATATACAATATAACCATTATTGAATTCCTATCATTTTGTTTAGTGAAATTCTAGATGGTTTCTTTTTTTTTTCTTTTCTTTCTTTCTTTCTTTCTTTCTTTCTTTCTTTCTTTCTTTCTTTCTTTTTTTCTTTCTTTCTTTCTTTTTTTTTTTCTGGTTCTTATTCTATTTTAAAACCCAAAGTTGACTATTCCAACTAAGTATACTTCAACAACTTTCAGATTCTGTTGATACGGTTTAATGTCTTTAAAAAACTTATCTAGGGCCAGCGAGAATTCAGTGGACTAAGTGCAAGGACCAGTGTTTGATCCCTGGTCCTGCATGCCATGCTGTCCCTGTCCCTGGGCACGCTGAGCTGGCCACCGAGTCCGTGTGTGGTGGGGCATGCCTGCAATCCCAGCCCTGGGGAGGCTGAAAGCAGGAGGATCACTACAAGTGCAAGCTGCTTAGTAAGACCCTGTAACAAATATACTAAAGAAAAAACCACCTCATTCAAATGTCCAGCTAATTTTAAAAGTCTGTACTTTGATAAAGTTCAAAAACATGGAGTGTTTTCCTTTTATACTCTTAAGTATGTGCTCTGATTTTAGCATTAAGTAAAAAATAAAACTACATGAGCATTAAAGAAAGAACCCAAAATGTTGAGGAAAAAAAAGATGAAGGTGAAAGTCAGCATGGCCCTGACTGGATTGCAGTAATGACCCGGATCTCAGCTGTCTAATATTCCCAGTGCCTGTAATGGTCTGCAGCTCCCTGGCTCCTGAATGCTAGGGGCAAGGTCCCTGGAGCCTGCGAGGACGCTGACAGGACCCTGCTGTGGTGGTGCAGTGGGAGCAGAGGTCCAGCGCTCAGTGTGGACCTCTGGTGTGGACCCTGGTGTAACGGAGCCCAGCGGGCAGTTCGCACCCAGAACCAGGCCGCCTCCCTCCAACCGCACCCCACTGCCCCTGCTGTGCGACCCGGCATCTTCCTCTCCGTGCCGTGTGGGCCGCTCAGTGTGCCAGAGCACGCGCGTCCACGGCAGGCGGCCTCTACAGTCCCCTTCGGTGGGTTTGCTCGCGGAGTGCTCTTCTGGGGAGACATTCTCACAGCCTCTGCCTCTGTCTTCAAGGGTGACCGTGTGCTTTAGACTGTCCTTGCCTTAGCCACTTTCCCGAAGCTGAGACAATACCCAACACCCACAATGTAGGGAAGGGGAGGTTTATTTTGGTGTAGTTGGTCTTGTTTTGTAGTTTAGGCTGGCCTTGAGCTTGCTCAAGTAGCCCAGGGTGGTCTGGAATTCACGGTGATCCTCCTGCCTCAGCTTCCCAAGTGCTAAGATTATAGGGTTACGCCACCATGCCCTCATTATTCTGTAAGTTAGGTGAGGAAAGAGGAATTAGATTACAAAAAATCTAGCTGATGCCTACAATTCATTAAATGTTAGTGTCTTCTATTGTCTCCCAAAATGTGGGTCATTAAGAGTAATTGCATTACTAAAGTAAATTTTGATTTATGTATATTAGAAAAGCGCGGACGATGTGGCGCCCCCAGGGATAAATAGCTGTAGGAACCTGCAAAAGCAGCAGCTCTGAATGCGTCTGCGTCACTTTCCTACCCCTCGGTCATACCACGTTTCTTGAACACGTAAATGTAATTGTTGCCTCCACAAGACACTGAACTTCCTGGGTGGTGCCACAGAGAGGGAGTAGCTGGGTTTATTACTGACCGGCTTCCTGGTGGCTAGCTATGAGACCGTGCACCCCGACCCTGGCAAGCCCGGGATCGCCGGCACAGCCTGGGCGCCCCTCTCACGCTCGGCGCTGCAAGCCCAGGGAGCGGCCGGTCACAGGAGCGAGGCGAGCGAGGCGCTGGCTGCGCACTAGACGTTGCGACCGGCGAGCGCTCGCACGGCGCCAACAAGCGCGCAGGCAGCGCCGCCTTCCAGCGCGGCGGGGCTCTCTGGTGCCAGGACTCTCTTTTATGGAAATAAAATAGCGTTGTGATCCGAAAGATCATTCCAGGTCTCCCTTTTGTTCTTTAGGATGAATTCTTCTTGCTGGCGCAGGGACCCGTTTTCTCCCCCCGACTTCCAGGATTCGTGTGGCTGCCTGGTAAGTGCTGCGGCACTTTGGATGTTTTACATAAAAGCGTCGAGAGAAGAAGATGGGTTTTCTCCAACTGTAAAGTCTTTGCTTTTGTTTTCCAAGTTGCTTTTTGTTTCACTTGGTGGCAGCTGCGAGGCAAAGTTTCGCTGCATAATCGCTAAGTGAGAATTGCACAGTCCGGCCCCACGTTCCCCGCCTCCCGCGCCTCCCTGTAGGTCTTCATAAAGCTGGTGAGGCTCCTTTCAGGATGAGGAGCCAGCATCACCCCACAGGGGCGCATTTCCTTCTGCTTCAAGGCAGGATGGCCTCCAGGCACTCGGCATGTTATTTGTGTTGCGGCTGGCGAGGATCCTCCTGCCTCAGCCTCCCGAGTGCTGGATTGGCCTGTGTGCGCCTCCACACGTAACTAATGCTCTGTCCTTGACGTGAAGGCTCAGGCTGCCTAGTCTGTGAGGGCACAGGTGCTCGGTCAGCGTGCAAAACTGATGGGCAGTCACGTCGCGGGCACTCCCCGGAGCTGGGTAGTCGAAGGCACAGGCCTGTTGCCCAGAGCCGGCTAGCTCAGGCAGCAGCTGCAGTGGACCTAAGAAGGGAAAGAAAGGCATCTTAGCTGAGGATCTGTGCAGAAAATGTCTGCACGGGGAGTGTGACTGCGGGCCTTTCTAGCTAGCGTTCTGGGGTGCGCTCCTCGCGGTGCGTTAGTGACTGTGGAAAGCCTGCGTCTGCAGGGCCTGCCCTGTTTCCCTCTCCTAGACCAGATCTGTGAGTGCAGGAGGGCGATGGCCCAGAGCCCACGCACACAGCTGCGGCGAGGGGCTGCCGGGCCTCAGGGTGCCTTGGCGGGCAAGCAGGTCCAGCCGTCCCTGAAGCTCCTTTACTCTGCCCAGCTCTCTTGTGCTCAAGATTTTTTTTTTTTTTTTGGACACAACTGTTTATCTTCCTCCTCTTGCTTCTTCCCCATGCTCATAAAGCCTGAAATGTTTTTTTCTGCACGCTTATTCCTTGGGGTAGATTTTAGCATCCTCTTGTATCAGGAGCTTTTGTTTCCAGCTGCCAAAGTCTATTCTGAGTAGAGTGCATGCCAGTGACTAGGGATAAATGAATAAATATCAAAATGCTTTATGTTCCTGTTTCTAAATCCCGTCTACCTCACATGAACTGTGATATTTCATTAACACAGAATGAAGAATCAAAGGTTTCATGTGAAAAATTTTGTAGCCAAGTAAGTTTCACAAATGGTGGGTGGGGAGAGGACTCAGCATTGTTGAAACAGCACTGTGGAAAGCCACGTCCTGGTGCGGTGAGACGGTGGATTGAGGAGGCACTGCTGGAAGCAGGAAGATTTAGGGCTTGTTGGGTCAGTGTGTGAGCGTGGTAAGTGGGCTTGGCTGGATTATTTAGCCACCTATTTTAATTGGCAAGTAGAAACTGAATATTATGTGAAGAAGAAATTGAATAGAATGTGCTGGACACAGTGAAGCTGTGGTACATGTGTATGTTTTGCAATTGCTAAGTCCAACTTTTCCAGGAAGAATGCATGTCTCAAAGAGCTTTAGGTGGCCTTCCACGGTGTGGCTTTCCACTTTGTGGCCTTCCACAAACCTTCTCAGGCTTTTGTGGTGAGGACTTACTCTCTTAGCAATTTTCAGATGTGCAATACGTTGTTTTCAGGGCAGTCACCACAGTGCGCACTTTCACCACAGTGCCCCTGTTTAACTGATATTTTCAGTACTTTGACCAATATGTCTCTAATCCCTACCTGCCCCTATCTCTGGCAACGATGACATTATTCTGCTTCCTCGAGTGTGACTGTCTCCCGCTCTGCACAGGAGTGGGAGTCTGGCCGAGCTCTCGCTGACCACTGCTCTTTCGCATGTCTTCCCCCAGGCCTGTCTAGCAGGCTCCTAAAAGTAACACCTTCAGCCTGTAGACTTTCTTACTTTTCTATACTTAACAAAAACAAAGTATTTCTGAAACTAACAGCAAACCTGAGCGCTGGGTCTGGTTGGTATTATTGCACTTTTTTTTGCTGGTGAGAACAGGACTTTCCAGAACTTGAAGGGGAGGTGCAGGGCCCAAGAATTTTGGGTTTCTGCACATTACCTTCTCCTCCGTGGTTCTGACGAAAATGGAGGCAAATGTGTCACATCAGAGCTGGTGTGCAGCACGTGTGTCCCTCGGCAGCCTCCAGGGGCGACTCCTGCTCCTCCTATGCTTGGAGCTCATTGTCTGACTCAGACCCTGAGCTGCCACTCTCCGGAGCCATGGAGCCGGGCTGTGTGAATTCCAATTCAAACAGCTAGGAGAGGACCATGGGCCTGGGGCTGCTCCGGCTCCTCTCCCTCCCTCTCCAGGACTCGCTGGCTTTCTACTTTATCAGACCCGAGATTGCCCCAACGAAAGCATGTTTCCCTGTGTAGCTCTTACAGGTCTGCCCAAACTTACACACAGAAAAGATGTGAAGTTCTTGGATATAGGTGGCTGCCCCGCTATTGTGGATTCCTCCAGTCCTCAAATAAAGGGGACTCTTAAAAGGTCTGAGATGTCAGAATGCTTACAAAGGCTTGCAAGATAGTTTATTAAAAATGAAAAGCCATGTATTAATTATTGTAACTGTCCTATTAACCTGTTTTGAAACTGTCTCATTGCTATTTGTTTCTCAATAAAATTAATTAAAAAAAAAGTCAGGGAAAGTCATGCTTAGTTTAAATCAATGTCAAGAAACCAGTGTGTGGGATATGAAAAACTTTCTTTTTTCTCTCTTTGGAAACAATGGCAGAGGTGTCCAAATAGGAGCACTGGGGCGCCCTACCTGACCAACCGCCTGGGCCACACTCTGTTCAATTTCTCCGAATTCCCGGTGGAGCAAGACTTCCTGGTGCCATCCTCAAAGCCAAGGTGTGTTCACAACTGTCCCTGCGTCTTCTCCATGCTCTTTAAGTGACAGCTGTCCCTGGCCATCTCCAGGGATGGGTTCCGGGACCCCCTAGGTATCTTTTGGAAAAAGGAGACGCCTACTACAGTGATCCGCACATGTCCATGCACAAGTTATCATGGCTACATCTTGCAAACAGCCATCAGCTGACGAGTGGATAAAGAAAATGTGACATTCATACCCAACGCAGTACTACTCCGCCCTCAAGAAGGAAGACACGGTCATTTGTAGGAGGGTGGCTGCGCCTTGCTACCGTAATGTGACGTGAAATCAATCTGATACATAAACTTAAACATCACATGGATTCTCTTCTGTGAAAAACCCAGATTATAAATAAAAAACAAGGGCCGGCCAAATAGCTCAGTGGAGTAAAGCACCTGCAAGCAGCGCAGAGGCCAGGGGTTCGATCCCTGGGCCTGCCGTGCCATGCTGGTCCCGCCTCTGGGGTGCACTGAGATGGCAATTGAGACTGGGCGTGGTGGCGCGAGCCTGCAATCCCAGCTCTTGGTAGGCTGTAAACAGGCGGATCACTATGAGTCTCATCTAGGAGAGTCCCTGAACACCCTGTAGACCCTTCCCTAAAATAAAACAACGAACAAACAAACAAAAAACCAAAAGGTAGATAATAGAAAGCAAGGAGATGGAGCTTTGTCAAAGGGGGGGGGGTGGATCAGGGGATTGAGAGGTGCAAAAGGAGAGAGGGGTGAAAAGGAGGGAGGAAGAGGTGCGATGTCCATGCCCCGACTCTGCTCGAGGAAGGTAAGTTTTATGTGCTGAACACTGTCCTGATAAAAGATAGCGCTGTACTTGCATGAGATTTCCAGGCAGCTTCCTGCGTCCTTAAGCCGCGTCTAGATGACTGCGATATCTAATGCAACGCTTAGTGCTACTTGCTGTTGCCTTGTTATTTAGGGAGTCGTGACAGTCAGTAGTCCGTCCACACCAATGCAGCTGCAGCCTTTTGTTCTTAGTGTTTTCCATCCACTCCTGGTTGGACCCACAAACACTGAGCCACGTCCACAGAGGCTGATTATGCCACTGTTTCAGATGCGAGTGGCCCTGAAAACTCAGTCTAACATTCACCTCGGCACTCATAAAAGGCCTGGAATGGTGCTGCGGGGCCCGATCAGATTCCGCTCTGCACACTTCAGTCTTGAAGCACTGGGGGAGTCATCGCAGTTGAGGTTCCCTGGGCAGCGCGGCTTGTAGAGATTTCACCGCTTTAGGGACTCCGAGCAGCTGCGTTAATAGCCTGGTGAAACGCTGATCTCTCTCGCATGAGAATTCCCCTGCTGCGTGGAACCTGCTGCAGCTCTGTCTTGAGACTCCTCCTAGGCGAGTTTTGGGGGAACTTGCTCTGTGCGGGTTTTCCTGCAGCCTGAGGGGATGACTCTAGATGTCTTGAGTACTTCTCCTTGCTTTAAATCTCTGACACTGGCCACACCATTGAGTTTCTCTAAGTCTCCTGTATGTCATGTGGCATGTCACACATACAGACACACCTGTGGGCCATGCTGGGAGCTGGCCAGTATGTCGCTGGCCCCAGACACCGAGCTGGCTATGCCAGCATGGCTTTCCTACAGCTCTTTGCTGTCATCTCCTAGTGTCCCTAGCCCTGCCCTGTCACCCCTGGTTTTCTTTCCCAACCCCAATGGCCTGCTCTTCAAGGCTGAGATCTGGTGTATCCAGGACTTGGAATAGACTCTGGTACCTTTACTCACGTGGTCCTGCCCTGGGCTAGGCAGAGGACCCTGCGACTGCTCTGACAGCACGGCTTGTGAATGTCCTCTTGGTGGCTGTCTGGAGTCCCCAGTTGGAAGACTGATGCTGTGTTTACTATCCACAGCCTTGGTGGCTGGTCTTTCGGAGTGCGGGTCCCCAGTGAAGAGCAAGACAGGAACACAAACGCCTCAAAACCAAGAACTCTGGCAAAGGTAATAGTGCTTTTTTCTTTTTCTCCCTGTTTTAGAAAGTTCCAGAGAAGCTAAAAATCCAAATTTAAGCTGAGCACAGTGGTGTAGGCCTGTAGTCTTGACACCTTGGTAGGCTGAGGCAGGAAGATGGGAAATTTGAGCAACTTTGGATAACTTAGTAATCTGCAAGACCCTGTCTCAACTAGCAAGCCTGGGATGTAGCCCGGTGTGAGGCCCTGGGCTCCATCTCCAGGAACAGCAGCAGCAGCAGCAGCAGCAGCAGCAGCAGCAGCAGCAGCAGCAGCAGCAACAACAGCAACATCCAAATACATTTTAGAGCACAGAGTCGAGGGAAGGGCTCAGATCCAGCCCCAGTGCTTGTTACTGGGTTCTGGGATGCTTATGTATAAACATTCCCCTGGGAAAGAAAACCGAATTGTTTTCTCTTCAGCGGTTTAGAAAGAGAACCAATGGATTGCTGTTTATTTTTGGTCAGAACAGGACATCACCAGCAAGATTTAAATCTAGCAAGAAGATCGTCTGTTGCTAAATACCTCCATAGTTGCATTAACTAGAAATGTCACTCTTATCCCTGGTGGCCAAGGAATGTTTTGTGCATAAACTTGAGTTCCTCATTTTAACGGAGGCTGGGTGGCAAGGACACGGGACTGTTCTTAGGACTCCTGGGTAGGACTGTCTTACGAGTCAGGATATTTCCTGATGGGACTGAAGAGCGGAGGAGGGAGGGATGGGGCTGTAGGCTGAGAGGAAGGAGCCTTCAGCGACTTGCAGGGGTGCAGACATGGTGAGTAAAAGGTGTTGCTGAGGAGAGAAGTCAGCACCACCTGAGAAGAGGGGCAGAGAGGAAAGGATCAAAGCTTTGGGTTCTCACCCCTGGGAGAACAGTGTGATGTGCTTGGGGCCCGACCTGGAGGAAGTGAGGTGGCTCCACTGGCGCAGGATGAGGGTAAGCTGAGCTCAGGGTGTCCCTGTGAAAGCCACCACGGCCCTTCTTTTCCTGAGCTCACGGGTGTTGTATCCGCTCTCAAGCTTGTCACAGAGATGGTGACGCAGGGACATCAGACCTTGGGGAGAACTTGCTGCTCTGTAGCGGGATATTTATGGCCCCAGGGAGCTAGGGAACGTTGTGCAGGAAGAAGACCTGCACATCTCGGGCTTTACTCAGTGGATAAAGGTTCTTAACAGGCCCTTTCCCTGTAATCCCCGATGAAAACCTTCCCCCTCACATGTCACCGTTTAATCCCAGAAGAACATTCTAAATCACGGGGTAGAGGCTCAGAAATCCCTTCTTCAGCTGAGGCCTGTTTCAATTTCTCTTCCTTTCAAAGCAACAGAAAGACTTATAACTCAACGTGAAACTGTCATCATTTGTACTTGACAGAAAAGCCACCCAAGACGGCTTTGTACGTTGGACCGTATTAAACCCCATTGCTGAAACAGACCTAATGTGTGGGAGGGACCTGCTTGCTTCCTTGAAACCCGCTGGGGCTTTTTAGGCACATCCACAGCTTTCTCCTCCACAGCGACAGCTGCCTTTGCTCTGGGATGTCGCGGCCTGGGTCCATCTCTGGTTCAGGGACGAGTCTGTTGCTAAGCCTCTCTGTTGGCCGCTCCTCTTGCCTGGATGTAGGTGGTTCCTGGGCACTGCGCTGGATGTGTCTGAGGGGGGATTTCTGCAGCGCTTCCTGGCGTCCAGTGTCTTCTGCCAGGCGCAGGCTTGCAAGTGAGTTGCACGTGGACCTTAGGCCAGTGAGGCTCTTTCAGGGATCTGAGGAACTCGATATCACAGTGAGGTGTAAAGGGCAGTGCCCGCTGTCATGCCCACTGAAGGCTGGTGTCCCATCAAATGACTGCATTAACCTTTCAATAATTAAGGGCCAGCCGTCCCTTTCTGCCTGCAGGCTATTTTCACAAGACACGGGTGGTAGAATTTTCATAGCCCTTTTACAGAAAAAAAATGGGAAATTTGCACATGAATATGCATAACACATGATTCAGTATACTGTAAAAAGTCTCTTGTGCAGCCTTTCCTTGAGTTATTTCACTCGTACCTTAGGTGTTTAGCTTATTTAATCAAAACACCCTTTAGAGCATGTATACTTTGCATAACATGCCCAACTACATCCTCAACACGTTGCCCCTCGCTTTGGGCGCCTACGCCGTGCTGCACTCTGCGATTTTGGGCGGGTGAGTGTTTCCTCAGTCGTTTCCGGCTCTCTGGCTCTCCCGGTCCTTTCCTGCGAGCCATTACTCTCAGCTCTGGGGATGACAGGTGTTTTTCCAGGCGGCACAATGTGGTCCTGAAAGGAGATTAACTTCTATTTCGCTCATTGGACTTTATCACTTCTTGACTGACGGACCAGCAGTCAGCATTCCCAAGACTTCTTCCCAGAACACAGTACAGTTTTAGAAAACTGCTATTTGGAGGAAAAAAGAAAAGAGAAAAAGGCTTTCCTCCGAAGGTGGCAAAATCCTGCATGTGAATTTTAGGGTCATTATGGAGCACGCAGTGCTTACTGAAAAGGTCTCCAGGACGGCTGTCACGGGGGCGCTGACACAAGCGTGGAGAGGGGGCTCGGAGCCTTGCGAGCTGCGTGCCTGGCACATTCTTGCCAAGCACGGGTTGCCGAAAGAGCACGGGGCGCGAGCCGCCAGGTCAGCCAGCAGCTCTGGCAGCTCGCGGGGTGGCTTGGGGGCTGTGGGCTGCTCATGGTGGTGTCTGCTGTCCTACTGGTGGGAGGCGCCGCCGCCGCCGGGCCCTGGCTCTGCCTCGCAGCGGGGTGGCCAGCTCATCGCCTGGGAAGCCCCATCCTTTCCGCATCCTGCCTGTAACCCTCTGCAGCCTGTGCGTGAGGAGGCTGCTCTCAGCTGGCTTCTCTGCAGAGATCACTGTGCAGTGTCTGAGGTGATTTCTGCCATTCAGGTCCACAAGTCTTGGTCTTGGTGTTCTCTCTCTCTCTCTCTCTCTCTCTCTCTCTCTCTCTCTCTCTCTCTCT